ATTTTTTTTAGAGACCGTCTCACTGTGTTGCTCAGGCTGGTCTCAAATGATCTTCCCATCTCAGCCTTCCAGAGTGTTGGGATTACAGGCGTGAGCCACGGCACCCAGCTTGGGTATGGGTATCTTTTTGATATGATTTTTTTTCTTTTGGGTAGATGATGCCCAGTAGTAGAATTGCTGGATGGAATGGTAGTTCTATTTTTAGTTCTTTGAGAAATATCCATACTGATTTCCAAAGAAATTATACAGTATTTTTCTTTTTTTTTTTTGCTCCGTCACCCCGGCTAGAGTGCAGTGGCATCACCATAACTTACTGCAACCTCAAACTCCTGGGCTCAAGCAATCTTTCTGCCTTGGCCTCCCAAAGTGCTGGGATTACAGACAGGAACCACCTTGCCTGGCCCCCTCTTCCACTTTTAATGGCACTTGTGATTAATTGGGCCTACCCAAATAATCCAGAATAATCTGCTTTAGTGTCAGCTGATTCGCACACTTAATTCCCATGCCATACAACATTACATATTCACAGGATCCGAAGGCCTGCCTAGAGTTACACTAACAAAAGCAGCAAAGCCAAGGGTGAAGAGAGAGACCAAATCTTGATGACATTGTTGGAGTCCTTGAATTCAGCTGTGGCTAAACCAGAAACACCTCTGGATTCTTCAGTTACATGAGCCTTTTCCTCTTAACTCGGTTTGAGTTGGGTCCTCAAACTTGCAACTAAGAGTCTTGATTGTTACATATGACAGCATATGTTATATTTGATATTGAATAAATTTAAATTATTTTTGTTTTAATGGTAATAAGTAATGATGAGTAATACTCATGTAATGATGGGTGTAAGAAAATCAAGAAACACATCAAATTTCAATTTCCAGTAATGGTAAACTAGGTCATTTGAACTATTTTCCTACTAAAGAAAACTGAAAACTTTGGACAAATATATATATTTTTTTCTTAAAAGCATTAAATTGCTAACAAGATAGTGATTATTAGTAATTACTAATCCAAGATCAAAGAGAGGATGGAAATCTAGAGATGGGTTTAATAGCAGATTACTCTAAATATCCACCAGGGTGTTTTCCAGTCCTGAAAAGGTGGCTGAGAAATGAGCTATGCCCTGTAGGGTTAGGGAGACTAAAGTGGGAATATAGGCCCCCAAGGTAAGCACAGTAAGCTGACCACAGGGAAGGCTGGTTGTTCCCTAGGAGGAAGGTAAATAAGAAGCAATTTATACCTTAGCACAGGCTGCATCTTGGTTTTGAATCATCTGGGTGATTCAGAAAATCTTAAGGCTAGAAATTGAATTAAGGTATTCTGAATGTTTACTGCCTCCAGGCACCTGGTAGAAGAAAAAAAATCCTCTTTAGAGGACAATATCATCCTAGGCCTCAAATTATTTCCTCATATAGAAATATGAGGCATAAGGTCAAATGTAATCAAGCACCAAAGAGAGAAGAGATCGTGAGTGAGAATTAACAGAAATAATGAATAGAAAAAGACCTACAAGGACTCTAAACATTAGAATCAGACATAGTCTATGAAGCAACTATGCTTACTCTGTTAAAGGAGATAAACGCCAAATTTGAAATTTTCAGCAGGGAACTGGAAACTATTAAAAAGTAACATGAAAGTTTTAAAAAGAATAAATTACAAACTCTAGACCTAAAAAATGCAATAGGCTGGGCATGGCGGCTCATGCCTATAATCCTAGCACTTTGGGAAGTCGAGGCAGGAGTTTAAGACCAGCCTGAGCAATAGTGAGACCCTGTATCTCAAAAAATAAAAAATTAAGCCAGCCGTGGTGGTGCACGCGTATAGTCCCAGGTACTCAGGAGGCCGAAGCAGGAGGATTGCTTGAGCCAGGAGTTTAGGATTGCAGTGAGCTATTATAATGCCACTGCACTCTAGTCCAGGAAACAGTGAGACCCAGTCTCAAAAAGAAAAAAAAAATGCAATAATTGAAATTAAGAAAATGGGCAGGTTTAAAAGTAGATTAGACATAGCTGAGGAGAAAAATCAGTAAATTATGAGGCATGGCAGGAGAAACAATTCAGTATGTAGCTCTGATAGACAAAAAGATGGAAAAGAGAAGAGGGGCAGAAACATAGAGGATACAGTGAGATGGGCTAGCTAATAGCTAATTGGAGTCCTGGAAGAAGAAAGAATGAGGAGAGGCAATATTTGCAGAGATAATTGTGAAGAATTTTCCAGAATTGATAAAAAGAAATCAATCCATATTCAAAAAGCCCAGTGAATGCCAAGCAAAGTAAAAAGAAATTCACTTAGACACATAATAACATCGCAGAATACCAAAAAACAAAGAAAAATCTTTTAAGAAAAGATACTTGGAGAAATAACATTAATTTCAAAGGAACAACTGACAGCTGACTGACTTCTCAACAGCAAAAACAGAACCCAGAAAATAGTGGAATCATCTTTCTCATGTGAAGAAAGAAAACTGCCAATATACAATTCTATAAAAGTAAGAAAATCCAACATAAATTCTCGAACATGGGGAAAACAGAAGAGAAGAAAACACCAACAAATTTTAAAAGTTAGAAAGCAGATGGACAAGTAGAAAGTGCTTAACAGACCTAAGGGAGTGGAATCCTAAACTAGCAGTAAAAAATATTGAGAAGCCATAATCTACACAGCAAAATCTTCGCAAGCCTCAGAAAATGAGAGTGTCAAATATTTCCACAGCTGGGGGTGAATGAGTGTTGGCTAAAATAAAAAGGCTTGGTTGCAAGTGGCTTAGGAAACAATTAAGTCCCTAGATGCTTCTCTCCTGCCAATCACTGGAAGGCTGCCTTTCCCCCATCACAGCAGAATCTCTTTACCCAAGAGAAGATACAATAGAGGATCTGTGGACTTGGGGAGACTCCGAAAGCTTATGTGTAGAGAATTTTGAATATGGATATCCTTAGCTCTCCTTCTCCACTCAGCTCCTAGAACCAGCTAGGCTTTCACCTCCACAAGAAGGAGGTTAGATGACTCTCCTCTATGGCAGAAATAAAATATTTAATGGGAAATTTAGAAAAGAATGTTGGTGAAATTACCCCAAAAGTAGAGAAAAACAAAATCAAAAAATAAAACCAAATAAAAACCCAACTACATCATAGGCACTTGAAATTTACAGTAAATTATTATAACCATGTTATATAACATTATCATGATATAAATTACTTATTCTCATGTTATCGTATTAATACAAATACTATGTGGTGCTGAGAGCACAAATCCTGCCTGGTATTTGAGTGTGACGTACATGTATTGCAGTGATGAACTGATTAGTATAATTTTGAGAGAGCAGAAAAGCGTCAATTTAAAGAAAACTAGGGGAGGAAGACTATCATCCTCTAATTAATAACACTCCTACAAGAACATTAAACATATTTGTAAATAGATAAGCTTTATTTGAGTGTCTGCACAAATAATAAGTTCATGTCAAACAGGAAGAGGTTTTCCAAAGGCTTAAAATTTATCAAATAGAACTTGGTGGTTCCCTTTAGTCTGTGTCTGAACTCAGCTGACTGCCCCATCATTATTAGTAGTCTGCCCTCACTAATCATTTTCACCACACACAGATCTCAAATCTTTGGGTTGTACTTCCCATTTCTCTGGAAATCTCTTAAATTGCTCTCAGTTATAACAGAAGGGCAAAGTTTTTGTCTGCTCAAACTCTACTCCGTCAGAGGCAAAATTGCATCCCTAAATTCTCATTTAAATTGTGGCTGTTTGCAAATGGTGTACAAATGAAGAACTTAATGTTTGCATACAAAAAATACAGTATAATCTTTGCTATTGTAGTAACTTCGTTTTAATTTTTTCATTAAAAAATTATTTTTATTATCACTCCACAAAGAGGCTATAAAAACACCTATAAAAACATTGAAAAGTCACTTTAAAATCCTAGACTGATATACCTTCTGTGATTCGCAAGTGAGAATAAAATGTTAGATTCCACATTTAGAATGTAGTTAGAATTTCTGAATGATTTTGATAGGAATTTACTAGAAGGAACGAGAACATCAAACCATAAAGATTTTCCATTTAACCCCGATTAAGTTTTTGAAAAGCTACATGTTTGTGGACAAACACAGCTCACTCAGGAACTTGATGCTGCCACTAATGATGAAGCTGACCTGAAAGGCAGAGATCTGTATGCTAGACATGCTGGGCCCTTCCATGCAACTGATCAAAGTGGTCTTCTCTTATTCTTTCCCTTATGTTTAAAATAAAGGTACAAATGGTAAAAGATGTAAATTGTACAGAAAGATGTAAAATAATAAGTAAATTTCCTTTTCTCCCATAACACAGCAAATCTGATATCTTCAAAATTCTTAAATAGTCATATGAGTAACTCACAAATTGAAATCAACCTCGGAATCTCCTTATCTGAAAATAATTTTCAGGCCTTTGGAACTGTGTTGATTGTTTCATATGTTACCTCTGTTACAGAGGAAAGTCATGCTGTCTTCTCCTTCTTAAAGAAAAAAAAAATTTTAAAAGCAACATGCACACAGTGCTCAGAGACAGCAAAGTCCAGGCAGCACCTCAGACTCCATTGGATCTAGCTGTGGCTGCAGAGAGTCCCTGGCATCATCCCTGAAATTTAGGAAGCACATTTATTAACAAGCCATTTTCAGAAGAAAACATTCTCTTAATCAAAATGAGGTCATCTGGTCTTCGTAAAATGGAAAGGTTTAACTCTGTCAGAAATTTGGGTCATCTGGTCATTACTAATAGAAAAATATCTCAATCTAATATTGTACAAAAAGGCATAAGCGATATAGTCCCAAGCTTTCAAGTTAAAACTAGGTCAACCTTTACTAGAGAACAAAGAAAAGGTGAGATAGCAAGGGACCAAGGATGGAGAAGGGAAATTCCCTCAGAGAAATGCCAACTCCAGTGAGGAGAAGCTGGAAGTTCTTCCCCCAAGCACACTTGCTCCCTGAGTGAGCAGGAAAGACTTACAGAAACACTGGCGTAGGAGCTCAGCCAAGCCCTTCCTCAATGCCTCGGATCCTCCTGGCCAGCTGCACATCCTTTGGGAAAAGAGTAACTCGGCCAGCATGTAAGGTGAGGAGATAAGCATCCTCAAAGAGATGGACTAGAAATGCTTCTGCAGCCTAGGGACAGGGAGACGAAAAAGACTGACACACAGGAAGGGGCACGGGCTAAGTTTTCTTAGAGACCTGCTAAACCTAATCTCCAAGGGTTCAAAGGACTGTAGGAAAGATTATTCAAAGAATGGGACTGAACTTGGCCTGGGAATTCTACTACAACCACACAGAATCCAGCCTCCAAACCCCTCAGGTGCTCCCTTGCTGCTCTTTTCAAGGAGGCCAGATCCAGTATGTGACAATCCAGTTAGGCACTTAGAGTTCCAGATTGCCTCCTTCTCCCACGCTCAGCCCTCACCCAATTATGCCTTGGCCCCTTCTCACCTCTTGTAGGGCCAATAGGGCCTGGGCTTGCCAACTGAAGTCCACACCACGAGTGAATACAGCACATATTTCTCTTATCTGTGAAGGAGTGGGGATGGGGAGGAGAGTAACAGAACAGAGATTCAAGGGAAGGCGGACCTTCTCCATGAGTTCCAATGACTCCTCATTTCCGTTATTCCTTCCTGGCCCTGAATCTTAGGACCTACCTAAGAGGAGGTGTTGACTTCTGGGGGCTTAGGAACTGACATATCTCTTATTGGTGGTGGGGAGATGAGGAGGCAATCTCCCAAGGTAGGAAAGGGACCAAAGGGTCCATGAATGAAAGGGTTTCTATTTTTACAGTCAAAGAATACAATTTCAAAGGTAGTGGGGTTAGAAATTAATTCCATGAAGAATTACAAGGTGCCCTTGGAAGGCTCATGTTTTCAGAAGATGAAGTCCTCTACTCGGTTAGAGAAGTTCTTCAAACATTTAGGTAAGAGACAGTTGGGTCCTTAATACCTGGGAAATTTAAAGGGGGTTGGTGGGATAGTCCCCAGACCTTACCAGGCGGCTGAAGGGGGCCTTCCTTAATAAGAGGCGTGTGCTCTTCTGAAGTTTTCGGATCTCCTGTAACCATCCATATTTCCTCCTCCGACGCTGACGGGGGGAAGGGCCTGAGCAAAAGATTTGAGTCATAAAGGGAAAGTGAATGAAAAAGACCCCAAAGGCAATCACAGCAACAACAAAAATAAATAAATTGCATCTGATCAAATTAAAAAGCTTCCACACAGCCAAGGAAACTATCACGAGAGCAAACAGAGAACCTACAGAATGGGAGAAAATACTCGCATGCTCCACATCCAATAAAGGGCTGATAACTAGAATCTATAGAGAACTCGGGAAAATCAGTAAGAAAAATCAAACAACCCCATTAAAAAGTGGGCAAAGGACAT